AGACAGCGCGGTAACACAGTGTCGTTGGACGCCACGTTTCATGTCCGGGAGCGGGGTCCACCTACGTGACGGTGGAACCGGAAAAGAGACAAAGTAATTCACACAGTAAGAATACCATGGAGTTAATCGGTTCATTACACCAAATCACCTAATAAAACAGTGTCTTTAAGAGGCATAAAGGATAGTGATACATCCTACTCTATCGGTCATATTGATCTTATCGTTTTCAGGCCTCCAAAATGATTATCAGCGACATAAGTAGCAAAAAGGACCTACTTGCCAAGACTCGTGTCGAGCAGCTCACAGGAGCGCACCGAACCAACGTCATTCTCACCGCCGCAAACTACAATCCTATTGCGTCCCACGGCAGCGGCGCCGTGACAGCATCGCTCGAAATTCATTGGCGCAGCGGACGCAAAAGTCGCGGTCATTGGGTGGAAGATCTCGACAGACTGACAACGTGAGTTTTCATCCCATCCACCAATCACGTACAGAGAGCCTTTTGGGGTACAGAAAAATGGGGGAAAGGAAGCTCGAAGGACAATGATATTATACCGTACTTCCGCATAGATACACAGCGTAGGGTATGTTAAGTTGAAATGTAGGTGTATTGTTTGCCTAGAGCTCTGACAGGCAGTATTTATGGCGCTCAGGCTGACTGGAGTTAACTGTTGAATTGCTCACCGTTTTGTTCGACAATGGCCGAGTCGAAACGATGTTTCATGCTGCCTACGACCTGACTGTGGCCTGAGACAGGGTTGTAGGCCTCGATGGTCCATGAGGGCTCATCCATCGTTTTTCGGGGTCCGAGGACGAGGCAGAGTTCCTCGCCCTTACTTCGAGGATATGGGGTGAAAGGACATGCTTCCTCACCAATTCCAGTATGCTTATCGATCCAAGCGTTTACCGTTTCCATAAAGGCCCTGGCAAGCGGATAGTATATAATATATGTAAGTGTCTCAGTGAAGCTCTTTACATGAGGATAGGCTCCAGTTCAGAGGAATGGTTAGCCAGGCTTTAGGGTTAAAACAGGAAATGCAGACAATATTAAGCAGGTTAGAATTGTTATGTATCTACAGACGCACAAAAAGAAAAAAGAAACATAACTGGTCTGTTGAAAGACGCAGTAAGCTTACTAAGGAGTTGGGTTGCATTGACTAAAAACGAACTCCCCCTCCCGAATGTCAAAAAGGTTATTGTGTCTATGTCTAGCACTATTTTGTACATCAGCTGGACTATTGTGCCCCTGCTAATCCGGTATTTATTCTTCCTTATTCATTCGAATTACAACAATGGGGTCAGCAGCGCAAAACGCTAGCACAGTTTTAAAGCAAGTGTAATCTGGCCTTCATTTTGCGACTTATTAAAGAACAGTTCTCCAAAACATCGGCAGTTGCAGTCTTTGGCCGTTATGCATTGCTTGTTATTTCCTGGTGCTGTGTATGCTGTTTCTATGCCTAATTTTATTCACGGCCAATGAAGGATTTCCTCTACTGAAAATATAGCGCAGTCTGGCACTGAGGAAGCACAAAGCAGCTGATTGGCTATCAACAAAGATTAAATCTAGGGATGGTCAAATCCTGATGAAGGGAAGAATGTATTCGTGTCTATTGAGACAGTCCACGGGTTCCAACCCGTCAGACCTAAGTCTCTACAAGTTGAACAGTCCCAGTGACGGAAAAATTGCGTAGATAGTAGATTTGCGTTGCATCTAGTGCACTCTCTTTTCTTTTGCCCGTCCGACCTCGGTGTCAAGA